TTTCCAGTAGACTTTTCCTTTTTTATTCATTAAAATATTTTTATATACTAAAATTATTACCCTGTGTCTAATATATGCTGCAAATATTTCCAGTTGTCATTTGTTTACATTTTGATTATTGGCTTTAATTTACAGATGAACAATATATATACTATATTCAATCTTTTTTAAATTCTTTTTTTCTTCTGAAGGGCTTCCCCATACCAATATTTTATTCCAGTTCTTCTTCCTATTTTTATGCTTAACACTTTAATTTTTCTAAATTTTTTTTGTGTTATGAAATCCATCTTAATATGTTTATTTCTAAAACACTTGTTTATCTTAATATTAAAACTCCTATACATTTGAAAGTAACGTTCAGAAATTGAAAGAATAAGGAAAGTAATCTTGTGTGAAATTAGGTCAAGATTTGCTTAGATACTAAATTAACACGTAAGGGAATTGAATGTGTTTAATTGTTTTCTTTCACCACAGGGAACATGTTGTATGAAGAGCATGGTTTTATAATACTTAAAAGGATTATTAGAAAAATGATGTATTTTACTGGTCAGGTGTTTGTGTCTATACTTCGATGTGAATGCAAAATAGTAAATATAAAAGTAAATTAATTTAAAACACATAGAATCTGATACAAACCTTACTCTTTTTCCACGTTATACATTACTCACACCTGCTATATTTTTCCGTGAACTGTTTGGAATACTCTCAATTCCTAGAAACTGTTTTAAAGTGGAGAAAAGCAGAAAAGATTATGTGTTAAAAGTACTTGATTTCCACCCAACCATTAAGAGATATTGCCAAAGAAAACTATTCAGAACATTTTTCACTGATGGCGTTAGATATGTTATACCAGAATAATAATGATTCATTATTAAAATATGCAAAGTGTAATTTCTCAACAACATTTTGTGGTAGGAAGATGAGCTAGTACAGTAGTTTTCCTTATTAAATAATGTTTTACAAAAGTAATTGACATGGTTTGGCTGTGTCCCCCCCCAAATTTCACCTTGAATTGTAATAATTCCTCCATGTCAAGGGTGGGGCCAGGTGGAGATAATTGAATCATGGATAAGGATCCCCCATACTGTTCCCCTGATAATCAATAAGTTTCACAAGATCTGATAGTTTTATAAATGGGAGTTCCCCTGAGCAATCTCTCTTCCCTGCTGCCATGTAAAATGTGTTTTTGCTTCTCCTTTGCCTTCTATCATGATTGTGAGGCCTCCCCTACCATATAGAACTATGAATCCATTAAACCTCTTTCCTTTATAAATCACCCAGTCTCAGATATGTCTTTATTTGTAGTATGAGAGCAGACTAATACAGTAATGCATTTACACTGTTCAAAATATAAAAGGTACAGTTAAAAGTATCTCAGCCTACCCATCATCTGCTCTACCCTCACCAAGCATTGACCTTAATTCTAGAAACAAATCTACAAAATAAATTCCTGGGAATAAAATTTCTGGGTCAAAGGTTACATGCTTTTCATAGATATGGCCAAACTACCTTCCACAAGAGGTACACAAATGTATGCTTCCCATCAGCCGTGTACAAGAGTCTGCATTTTCCCACAGCCTTGGCAGCATAGTGTATTTGCAGACTTGAATTTTTGCCAGTGCAATAGATGAAGCTCTAATTTTCATTTCTCTCATTATTACCAAGGCTAAGCTTCTGTTCATGCATTTAAAATCCTTTGTATTTTCTTTTCTGTGAACTGTCCTTATCTTTTGTCCAATTTTCTTTTGAGTTGTTGGCCTTTTTCTTATTAACTTGCAGAAGCTCTTTTATGTGTTCGGAAAATTAGTCCCTTAGATATGAGTCATAAACATTTATTTTTCATAATTGTTCATTTGTTTTTGATTTTGCCTGTGGCTTTTTTGGTCATACAGAAGCTTTTGATTTTTTATATAGTCCAGTTTAGTGATATTTTTGTCTGTTAATTAAAGTTGTTTAACTTGAGGATACAATTTACTTTTTTTTTGTGGTTGACTACTGTAGACATATATTGCTTCTTACACTGAAAAAATAATAATCCTGAATTTAGAAATTGCTTTTAACAAACTTTTGTTGAATGTCTGTCATACTTAGGAACAGAGCTTGTTTGACCCAGAAATCAAAGGTCAGTGAGAAGGATCAATGTAAATAAAAAGTTAAATAGCATGAGGTAAATGTTATGATGGTGGGAAAGACAAGGTCTGAGAGGATAAACCTAAAGCAACGTCATAATTAAGCTGAAAATTTCTTCTCATGATAAGCTATCATTTCAGTATTCCAGATATTAGTCAAATCTGACCCATTACACTGTTTTTTTGTTTTGTTTTGTTTTGTTTTGTCAGGAATTGTTTTACCTCTATTATAAGGAAGGGATAGTATGGGAGGATGATAAGGAAACCAGCAATCTGAGTTAAACGTTACACAGATTTCTGTGCTTATATATGAAGCCTAAATGAAACGTGAACAATTTCATGATAGATAAAAAGGAGTTCATCGCTCAGTTTTAGAGAGTTTAGGAAAATATGATGGCTATTATCTCAGTAGCTTCAGAGTCTAGAGGCTTTTAGAGGTTGTTAGTTGAAGCTGTAAAACGCTTTTTACATCTACTTGTGAGTAGAAAATGATCCAATAAAAATAAAATGTTTAGTTACCTCCTTTAAAATTCTTGAAAAATAAGTTGAGGACATTATTAGATCATGTGTTACAGACGTAGGATTATATTTGTAACATCACCTAAATCACACACACACACAGGAAAGTTCAGCACCACAGGTGTAGTTATGGATGTGAACTCACAAAACACAAATCGAGCAAAGAGAACAATATCTCAATTCATGATTCATGGACATTCTGTGCTACCTGAAACACGATGCTTCTTTTGCCCAGCTCTCACCCACACAGGGAAAGGCTGCCAGGAATGAGAGACAAGATGTGTGCAGGTTACCTTTAATAGGAGCCACCACCTGTATTTCCCATCAATCTTTTACACCTTTGTCATGTGGATCCAAGGACTGTATTCCAACTGACAGCTCCCGCAATGAGGTGCAGTTCCACACAACAAAGGCAGGGCCAGCATCTCCCATTCATCTTAAAGTTAGTGTTTCCAAGGAAACAGTGCTGTAGGAGCCTAGGGTCAGTCCCAGACTGACCTGCAACAGTCCAGGCTGGATGTTAATCCTTTACTTATACATTCTCATGAATTTTTCACAACATATATGTATGCATTTACAAAGTGTTTCAATGTACATATTGTTTACATATACAATCTTGTTTAAAATTCATTTTTCTCTACATTAATTGATTTTTTTCTCCACAACTTTCTTTTTCATCTCCTACCTCTTGTATCCAATTAAAGAATGTACTTATTTAAAAAGTATCTAAAACAATTGTTCCAAAGCATGTGACATTGTTTATGTGACACACTAGTATATTATCTAGTTTATTTTTAAAATCTTCTCTATTATTATTCATAACATTATATTATTATGGAACAGATGTATATTATAAAATTTTATTCATATTGCAGTGTAATATTTTGTATTACAATGGTATTATTAATAGTCTCATAAAGAGCTATCATTACAAGTTTAAATTCTTTATTCTGGGTTGTCGGTTTTAACTCTTGACATTCTGAAGAAAATAGCTTTACTCTTGTTTATTCTGGCTCTTTTTTTTTTTTTTTTTTTTTTGGAGAGATGGGGTTGTTGCTATGATGCCCAGGCTCATCTCGAAGTCCTGGGCTCCAGCAATTCTTCTGCCTCAGCCTCCCAAAGTGCTGGTGTTACGGGCATGAGCTATAGTGCCCAGCCTATCCTGGCTCTTTATTTACTTGTAAGCTTGAGCAATAATCACTACTATTTAATAACTTTATTGTCATTCACTATCATGCAGAGTATTGCTCTAAGGTGTGTTCAGGGATGACTTTATTGATTCCTAACAGTAATCCTATGAAGTAGATGTTATCATTGTCCCCAGTCTATAGAGGAGGCATTGAGAGTTAGAGAAAACTGGGCTAAAATGTTAGGCAAGAACTAGAACAAGAATTGAAATCTAAGTGGCCTAACTCTAGACCTCACATTGTTTAATACCATGTTATACTGCTTCCTAACCTATTTAATGATTTTTCAGCCCCAACATCATCATCCATGTGTGGTAGTGGGATCATAATAATATCTATATCATAGCATTGTTGGATGCATTAAGGAAGTCTACACAAGTGAAACTTCCAAGGACGATGGTTGGCATACACTGATCTCTTAATAAAAATAACCTATAATCTTTCTGTTATAGTCTACTCTAATCCAAATGTTCTTTTTACTTCCCATCTCAAGCACCTGCTTCTGTTTACTAGGACTCACAAACTATAGCTCACAAAAACACATAACTTACCAATTTTCCTTGTACATAAAAGGACTTCCTTTTACAGTCTTCCATGACATAAAAGAAAGCTAGAAGCAAGTATAGTAGAAGAAATGATTGCTATACAAACAAAATTTTAGTTGGTTTGGTTTTAATTTTAGGCTGCGCACTGAATAAAAATTACTCATTTGGGATTTAGAAGACCTGTGTTATATATCTGGTACTAATGCTGAATAATTTGGCTTATTCATTTTTATAACTACAAAGGAAGTGTGTCTGGCATATAATACACAACATACCAGTATATTTAGTAACTGAGTGAATAAATGAAATATGTACTTCTTTACTTTATCAGTTGCAGTTGGCTTTGCATTTGTGTAAGGTGTGTGTTTTGCAATTCCAAAACGGCATTAGTTTCTTTAAAGCAAAGAATTTTTGTAGCGTGTTAATGAATAATTTCTAATACATTGGTTAAATACCAACATGTCATATATGTAAATAGTCAATGTTATACTGCTAAAATAACAAAAATCAGTCAGATTCTGCAACATTTCATGATAAATAACTTTTGAAAATATATTTTTAAACATTTTGGCTTATGCCTTGAGAATTATTTACCTTTTTAAAATGTATTTTCCTTTCAGGTTTCCAGGGCTTTACCTGAGAAACAAGGAGAAATTGAAGCTCAAATAAAAGACCTTGGGCAGCTTGAAAAAAAGCTTGAAGACCTTGAAGAGCAGTTAAATCATCTGCTCCTGTGGTTGTCTCCTATTAGGAATCAGTTGGAAATTTATAACCAACCAAATCAAGAAGGACCATTTGACATTAAGGTAGGGACATGTTGCTTTAAATATTTTTTATTTTTTAAGAAAAATGGCATTATCACTGAATTTTCTCATTCTGTATCATTACTAAAGAAAAATTGTGACTTGTTAAAGCATGGTAAGGAAGACTTTATTCAGGATCACCGCAATAGGCACGGGTACCACTGCAATGGAGTATTACAGGAGGTCGGGTGGAGAGAGATTGGGCTCAACTCCAAATACAGCACAGGGGAAGTAGGAATTTATAGCCAAGGAGCAGGGTAGGAGTCACTAGATGGAAAATTAAGAGGAAACGTCAGGGGTAAGTGGGATTCTGGCTAAACCAACCTCACAGGATTCTTGCTGAAGATGGGCCAGGGTTATCAGACAACCCCTGGGGAATGGTAGAGAATACTGAGGGTGATCAGGTACCAAGGGTAAAGGGTTCTTGCAAAACTTACAGGCTTCTTTGCTGAAACTGGATTTTACAGGGGAGTGCAAAGATGAGCCAAGGTGAAGGTTCAGAAGCCTGACTAAAGTTTAGTCAAGCAGGGAATCTTTGTCATCATCATCATCATTGTCGTCATAATGATAATAATAATTATTATTTTACTAGAATATGCTACTTTTTCTTCGACATTTACTAGAAATAAGGTCTTCATTAAATTCATATTACTAGAACGCCTGTGTCATATTTGTTACTATGATACATTTTCTATCCCTGTTTTAATTGTGCTTAATACATATTCATAGATTCCTTATCCAAAATTGAAGTTGTTTATGAGATTAGGTTCCTAAAATATAATGTCTGGGCTCTTTTGTAGACATTGTAAAGCCCTCTCAGACAACTACACTTTACCTTTCTATCTTCTCATTCTGCCAGCAATCTCCCCATATAGTCTAGCCACATCAAATTACTTGGTACCTCTCCATCCATGTAATTTCATGTCATACCTGTGATCTTGATTGTCTCTGTTCTTTAAATGACTTCTTTCAGTTTATTTTGATATAACGAATTTTCTTCCATTCTTTAGGAATGAATTCAAAATCATTGCCTCTTCCGAGTTTTCTTCTGTACCCCAAGTAGAGTTAGAATCCCTGTTAGGATTTCTTATAAACCTCTTTATGCATCTCCCATTGTTCATATGTTGATTTACCCTTAAATTTTATACATCTGAATATTTCATTACAAATCTGTACTGTTCTTTGAGTGCAGAGGGTATTCTCTTATTTATCTCTGTTTCTCCACTCATATAAACACATTCAGTCCAGGATCCAGTAAATGATGGTTACTTGTAAGTGTTTTTAAGTCAATGGATAAAGATGGTACCAGGGCACCCAGAATACTAATGAGATGCTGCAGGTAAGCATAGGGCTTTAGACAGTCCTGCCAATTGAACACCACTATCTCCTTCTTTTAGTGTTCTTGTAAATGTTGAGTGATCCTCTTTTCTCCCTTTCAAGGAATCTATTCCAAAGATTCTTTCAATATGCTGCCCTGTTTTGCGTCTCCTTATTGGCCAAAATCTTTAAGTAGCCAGTCAAATAAACCAAATCATTGAAATTACAATCTATTAATGAATGTATTGTTGGGCAACTTCAGAGTGAAAAAGATAACATTTTTGAGTAGTTTTTCTTTTATTTAATTGACTTTAATTGTTAAATTTATTTATTTTCCAGGATTATAAAAACGTAACATTTTCATCTCCATTTAACTGTTGTTTTGCTAGAACTGAGAGCAAAGGAAAAAGGAAGTTTGAGAATATTCTAGTGAAGGGGAAGTAAAAGTTTGGGGAAGATGGGCATGAGTGACAATAAGGAGATAGAGAGAAGTTTGCTACAACTAAAATGAGTTCGATTAGCAAAATGTTCTCCACTATGTTTACCTTACTTCTTCCTGACACTTATGTCTACCATTCTGATAGCTACTCCCCAAGAGCAGATGGCACTGTGGAAGTCTCAAGTAGACATCATTTCACCAGGACAAAACTCAGCCTGCTCAGCCAGTGGCACAGTCTTGGGTTCAGTCTGATGATTAAGTTTATGAGACACAATAGGCTTTACGCAATAACAAATTTAGTTAGCTTTAAGAAATTATACAGGATGGGTAACAAAAGCCTGCACATTAAAGGCACAGGGGAAGTCTTGATACTGGGACGTGGCTTCTGATGTCCCACTGCCCTGCATTTTAGTCATATGTGATCACAAGGGGCAAGACTGGGTGAGTACAAAACACATCATCGTCTCAGGGAAGCCATCAGTTCTAGGATCCTGACCATTTCTCCACTTAGCTAGTACATAATGTATGCAGAGGTATTTGACTAGCTCCTATTCACCAGTACAACTACATCTCATGAATACTGATTTTTCATTGCTCAGTAAACAACCCCAACAGGAAAGTGCAGTTACTTGGGCAATACACAATAACTTTAGCCAAATTCTCAATTATCTTATATCCAGTATATTCTTAAGAAGTAATTGATGTAATATTGCAAAGAGGAAAGGCCATAAAGTCTTTCCTCCCAACCAGAAATAGCTTTTTGTAGCTCACGGTAAAAGCACATTCTACTCTTTTAAATGCAATCTTTGGTTAAAATGTGCCTCTTTATTATAATAATTTTAAAAATACTCAATGCTAGCTATCTTTCTTCCTGGAATACATTTAAGAAAAGATTTTTTTTTAATCCCTTGGTACAAATAGATCCTGTTGACTCAACCAAAATGACTTTAGTCCCAGTCTGTGCCCCCGAGAATGGTTTTCAACTACTGAAAACCTGCATTGGGTCTTTAATTGTCTATGGCCCATAGGGTTCTGCCAAATGGGTCCCTGCAGTTTGAAGTGAAAGCCATGCTCGGTTGTGTTAATCACTTTTCTTTATCAAAGCTACAAGTCACCACTCTCACTGCTGTGTATAGTTTCTGAGAGTCATGATATTTGCCTCCTGCAGCTTGTTTTAAATCACTGAAGGGAGAGGGAGCTGCTTTTTTCCTGGCAGAAAACTCTTTGGCTTCAGTCCCTTGAGCATATTCCGAGATTTTTATCTCTGGAGTGCAGATTTCAAAAATACTCTTTTAGCCTTTTTCTTCTGCTTGTGGCTGTGTCCAAGGTAGGGGGAGGGGAAACATAAAATCATAGATTTGATGACTTGAGAGTTTCTCCCAATAATTCTCAAACCCCTAGCTTATAATTAGGAAATGGTGACCTGTGTGAATAATAATTTACCTTGTTTTTTTTTATCCCTCTTTGTCTAGCTTCCATTCCTTGTCACTAATAAATGATTTATTTATTTATTTATTTATTTATTTATTATTTTATTTTATTTATTTTTTTTTGAGACGGAGTCTCGCTCTGTCGCCCAGGCTGGAGTGCAGTGGCCGGATCTCAGCTCACTGCAAGCTCCACCTCCCAGGTTCACGCCATTCTCCTGCCTCAGCCTCCCGAGTAGCTGGGACTACAGGCGCCTGCCACTTCGCCCGGCTAGTTTTTTGTATATTTTTAAAGTAGAGACGGGGTTTCACCATGTTAGCCAGGATGGTCTCGATCTCCTGACCTCGTGATCCGCCCATCTCGGCCTCCCAAAGTGCTGGGATTACAGGCTTGAGCCACCGCGCCCGGCCTAAATGATTTATTAAGATTGCACAGGTTTTCTGATTTAAGATATGGGATATTAGTCCTTACAGCCTGCTGTATTCCTCTGTTTAAATGAATTAAACTATTTTTCCATTAAAGAAAGATGGGACACTAGACTTTGCTTTACTTAGTTTCAAACTATTGAACACCAAAAATAAAATGTTTGAGGAGTTTTGAGCCCATGCTCTTTTTTTTAACACAAGGAAAAAAAAATTGCCTTTAATAAAATCTTAAGAAAGAGTTAATGCAAAGAAAGTAGATCTACAAGCAGCCACACCCCTAGCTCCAAATCCTAAATGTAAAGAAACTTGCTTTGTCTGGCCATGGTGGTCATGGCTGCCTCGGAAACAAAGGGTCTGAGGCCTTGCCATTCGGGTAGTTTGTTTTCTCTAGTCAAACTCTGAGCACACCTGTTAGAAAAATATGTAATATCCTCTGTGAACCTCAGTTTTGTCTGCTTGGTACTTCACGCTTATTGATGAAATGCAGCTAGCTGTGTAATGAAACCCAAATAAAAAAGGCTTTAAGGGCTGTGTTCTAATACATTGTTTATGCTGGAGTGAAAATTGACTGCACATTGCTTGGTTTGTGCAATTTACTCCCAAAATATTCCTATTCAGGAAATCCTGCAAATAGCAATATTCATCTTGAAAATCACCTCACAGAACCCTTAGCAAGCTGAGAAACATAATCAATGAGATCGTGATGTAGAGGGTGAAAATTAGGCGTAATCACAGCCCTTTCCCATCAGTCAGCCCACTAGAAGGCATGCCTTTGAATTTTGATTTTCAGATATACTCTCAGTTTAGACATAAAATATGTTGATTTCAGATTTCAGAAATGATAATTGAATGCTAAGATCCCGGGACCAGTTTAGAATTTCTATAAAGGGTCTTATGTTTTTAATCTTTGATGAATGCCTTCAATAATGAGCTAGAGGTATACTATTTATCTGACATAAGACTGACTACTGCTTTCCAAACTTTTTATTAAAATATGAGGTGTGGTAGGGCACATAATTTTATGTTAAGGCTTAGTGACTGAAATACCTTCATCTTAATCACAGGGAGGGGTTTTTTTCCTCCCCTCTTTCACTTTCCTTGTGTGGTTTATAAATGAACATGACATGTGGCTCTGCTGGCTCATCCTTATAGTATAAGGAACATAATTGTCCATAATGTCAAATCCATGTTGAAAACTACCAAAGGACTCAATTGTAGTGACTGATCATTAAAGTCATTGAACACTGCATGCATTCACACTGCTGTGAGTGTTGTCAAAGCAAAATTGCACTAGACAACAGGCAAGAAAGACTGTGTTCAAAACTTTTGCAACAGAGGAGAGAGATTGAACTCAATTCTGCTGAAACAAAAGGCAGGAAAACCTTTAAGTGCTG